ATGGCGACCGCGGGGGTGGCGAGGGGGGGGGTGGCCCCGAGGAGCCGGTACCTGGTAGCGCTCCGGTGCGAGGGGCGGGGAAGGGATGAGGGGAGGGTCAGCGCCAGGCCCAGCCGCCTCCCGCCGCCGCCATCTTAACAGCAGCCCCAAATCTTAGCCCCGCGCGGCTCTCGCGAGATCTCGATAAGGGCGGGGAGAAGAAACAAGACTTGAGAGACCTCGCGAGAGTAAGCGGGAGGTAAAGAGGGCGGGACCAAATCTGGCAAAAATTGGAAAGGGGGCGGAGAAGTGAGATATTGCGATATCTGAGACGCGTACTTCCTGGAGAGATTTTGGGGGACTGGGAGATGACTGGAAAAGGAGGGTGAGAGGGCGAGTTCTCGTGAGAGCTGCCCGAGGTCGCGGAGGCAGGAAACAGGCAACCGGGCGGGAAAGGTCGGCTCGTGAGATCCCGCGAGAGTTCGCCTGGATCTTACGGGAACGAACGTAGGGGTGCAGAGACAAAACGGATCCCGCGAGACTCAGGGGAAAAGGCAGGAAAGCCGACAGGAGACATCGCGAGAATACATCCCGACGCCAGAGCTGGTGAACTCTCGTGATATTTGTCATGAAGGAAAAGTAAATCCTATGAGATTTTACCGCGATGTAGGGCCAGAGAGGGCTGAACCGGCTTCAGGCCCGGGGGAATCCCTCGCGTTGGTATAAACGGGAGTCGATGAGGCGGTTACTTCTCGCGGTACTGGAAGAGCTCAGGAAGAAAACTCGCTAATACAACTCTTGCGGAGAAGTCCCGCGAGAACTGGAGGCGGATCTCACGAGATCTCACCGCCTATTGTCCTGGGAATCGGGAAGGCGGAGGGGTCACGCGAGAACTGCGAGAAAGCCGCGGGGAGGAGGGAGAATACCTGCCCCTCTAACGGCCACCCACTGCTGGTTACGGTGTGCTACAAGGGACATAAATGACAGATGTATCGCGATAACTCACCACCACTACACCATGCGGGACGGAAACGAAAATTAAGTCTCGCGAGGCCTGCAGCTAATCGCGAGATTAATGCGGGCTCCAAGACGCTGCAGTTTCGCCTAAATCCCGTGAGACTTTCCACTACCTTTCAGTGTAGTGTCGCGAGATCGCCGCCTCCTTTTCCGTCTTCTGCCCTCGCTGGAACCAATCCGAGCGCTGCTGCCTCCGAGAACTTTATTGTACCGCCGCTGCCGCAGACAGAGGCGGTGCGCGCGCCGGGACTAGCACGTGACAGCAGTAGGATGATGTCAGGGGGCGATAGAATGACACGGGAAGGAGGTCGGAGGAGCTAGGGCTCCTCCGGCCCTACCCACGTTGTTTATCCCCCCTTTCTGACATGGAAAGCCCAGGTGTCCCCCCAGGACCCCAGAGCTAAGATAGAACTAAGGCAAACAGGAGGCGGTCTCCCCGTAGGGCACAGAGAGCAGCTGAGAGGGACTAGCGCCATGAATGTCATAGCCCTGGATCCTGACCAGCAGGGTCTGTCCAGTCCCCAGCCACCCCCCAGCCCGTCAGAGGAGGCGAGGAGAATATGTCCCTCACCTGTCACCTCACAATCATCCTGGCCTGGGGTAGATGGTCTGTCTAGCACCTCGCACCCTATATCCAGGTCTGGGGGGAGGTTTGTACAGTGCCCAGCACAGTAGGAGACAAAGTGACAGACTGCAGGGTTGTGGCTTTTCCTTTTATTCTAACCCTGAATATAAAAACTCGCGGTCCATTTTGCGAACACCCGGAGCTACGGAAGCCTAAAAAAGTTGAGGAGGGGGGGAAATGACACTCCGGGCATGGAGCCCAGCCCTGGCAAGGGAGGGGGTAGCAGGGAGCTCAGGCAGGACCCCCCCTCCTCTGGGCCAGGTAGGGGGCTCAGAGCAACAGCTTGCCGTTGCGATGGATCTTGAGGATGCGGCCTAGACGTTGCTTTGCTGTTGCCAACCCCTTCTTGGGGCGCTTGCCTGTGGGGGAGGAAAGATGGGGTGAGAGGGGAGACTCATGACACTACCCAGACCAGAACCCAGGCATCCAGGTCTCTCCTGCTCTAAACCTCTAGACCTGTGATCAGGGCTCCCCACCGCCACCACCATTCCTATAGAACCCTAGTATTTAGGTTCCCTGTTCCATGAAGGAGCGCGGGACCTGGATTCTAAGTCCCTGTGGAACCTAGGTATCCAAGGCTTACCCTGACAGGGGAGGGCAGCAGGGTTGCCAGCCGGGGCACGGCGCTGGCTCAGAAAGACACCGGGAGCCATGGGGGGTGAGGGCCTGGCAGGGAGCACGGGGCCCAGTCCCCCTGGGCGCACTGTGTATTCATGGTCGGCTAGGCTAGCAGGCACCGGTGGGGTGGGGATGGGCACTGGTGGGGGCTCAGGGGGTGCTGGCTCCGCCTCAGGCTCAGGTTCAGGTTCAGGCTCAGGCTCCGTGTCCTGGGGGGATGGGGTGCGGTGCCGGGCCCCTGCCAGGTTCCTCCTGCGCTGCAGTCGCTGGTGCTCCTGTAAGGGGTAGGGCAGGGAAGGATCAGGACGGAAGGATGGAATCATCTGCCCCAGCTCCGATTCCAGGCATCTGGGTTTTATCACGTGGGCATAGAACTAAGGCATCCAGGGCTCAAAGCTCCTCCAATCAAGGTAGAATCCAGATGCCCAGGCTCCCCCCTCCCCCAAATAGGGATGGAACCCAAGCATCCCGACTCCCAGTTACCCAAGCAGGGTTGGAACCCAGGTGTCCAAGCCCTACACTTCTCCAAGCATGTTCAGAACCCAGGTGTCCAGGGCCCCCCTTCACCTGCTGGGCCGGCTTGGCTGCGGCAGCTGCCAGCCCAGTCTCCACGGAGGCAACGCGGGTGCCCTCCCGCACGGGCCGTGCCTGCCTGGGTAGCGTTGGGGTCACCCGGGCTGGGAAGGAGTAAGGGTGGGGGGTCAGATCAGGGTGGAAGAGAACCCAGGCTCCCAGCCCAAGTTCTCACTCCCCAGCCCCCACTGCTCTCCTAGAGAACCCAGCATCTGCCCCTCCCCCCAGGTGGGTGGAACCCAGGCATCTGGGTGGTACCTTTGGGGCTCCAGGGGGCGTCATCAGTACTTTTCTTCTTCTTTGGTAGCGATTTCAGGGCTGGGTCATCCTCGTCTGACTCCAGGGAGGGGTAAACTGAGGGATGAAAGGAGCAGGGGGGTGAATAGAGGGACAACTAGCACCCTGTGCCCCCCCCACCCTGTCCCAGCTCCTGGGCTCAGCTGGCACTGAGATACAGCCAGCTCCAAGGTGGGGCAGCTGGAAAACAGCTGAGTATAAACAGTGCAGAGATGCAGCCAGCTCTGAGGTTGACTGACAGAGAGGCTGTGTATAATACATCCCAAAGGGAAATGCAGCCAGCTCTGTGGTGGAATGACAGAGAATGGCTGTGTTCAGCATCCCAGAGAGGAAAGCTGCCAGCTCTGGGGTGGAACAGCTGGGATCAGACAAGTCTAATACCCCAGAGAGAGATGGGAACAGCTGAATATAACATCCCACAGAGGAGATGCGGACAGTTCTAGAATAGGACAGCAGAGTATAACTTTTAGAGACACAGCCACCTCTGGGGTAGAACAGCTGTGTATAAACACATCCCAAAGGAGACGTGGCCACCTCAGGGTGGGGCAGCTAAGAACAGCTGAGTGTTAACACCCCAGAGAAATGCAGACATCTTTGGGGTAGAACAGCTGAGTATAACACCCCCCAAAAGACAAGCAGACAGCTTTGCAGTGGAATGGCTAAATAGAACATTCCCCAGAGGAGATGAAGCCAACTCTGGAATGGGGTGGTTGAAAATGACCAAGTATAATGTCTCAGAGATGCAGCCAACTCTGGGGTAAAACAGCTGAGTGTTAATGCCTCCCAGAGGAAATGCAGCCAGCTCTGGGGTAGAACAGCTCAACATAATACCCGCTCCTTCTCAGAGGAGATGCAGCCAGCTCTGGGGTGGAGTGATTGGTAATGGCCAAATAAAACATCTGAGAGAGAAACAACCAGCTCTGTGGTGGAACAGCTAAACATAAAGCCTTCCATGCAGTAGAGATGCAACCAGCTCTGGGGAAAAACAGCTGAGTATAAGACTCCCCCAAAAGACACATCACCAGCTCTGGAGAGGAATGGCTGAGTAAGAATGTCCTTCAGAGGTGATGCAGCCAACTCTGATATAGAACAGTCAAGTATAATGCCCTCCCCAACCTGAGGAGATACAGCCAGCTCTGGGGTGGAATCACTGAACAGAACATTACCCAGGGTAGATGCAGTCAGCTCTAGGCTAGAAAGGGCTGGAAACGGCCAATTTTAAAGCTCCTGCCAGAGATGCCCCCAGCACTGGGATGTGACAACTATGCAATGTTGAGTATAATCCCACCCCCGCTTCCCTCTTAACCTGATGCTGCCCTTACTGTACTCCGCGTCCTTGAAGCAGGCACCCAGGCTGTCATGTTCGTCAGGGCTGGGGGCCTCGTCCTCACTCTCCGAGCTGCGGGAG